ATACCCGAGGTTGAAAAAATCTGAGTTTTATTGGTTTGGTTTAGCTTATAAATTCAAAAATCCGACACAAATGGTTTGGTTTGATATTTGAAAAACCTGAACCAACCCGACCATGTACACCCCTAGTTGTGGGTTTGAACCCTCTCTCTTTTTCTTTTTCTTTTTAAAAAAAAAAAGAAATTTAGAACCCTCAAACTTTTAATCCTGCCTCCGTCTCTAGTCTCAACAGAAAACTCTCACATAACAGAATTTTCAATTGAATGGGTATAATTTCAATGTTAATCTAAGTCTTTTTGTAAATACATGTGGTTGCTTTGATAATTCTTTCAAGTCATTAAAAATCATATGGAACAGTTCAGGGCTCTCTCTAGGTATTTAACTTAATTGATGGAAGAAGATATGCAAACCTTTTATAGATTGGTTATTTCTTACATATTTTTTTTATTCATCTTGCACTACTAAGAACATGAAAGGTAATTAATATTGTAAGGGATCGTTTGAAAGAGTGTATAAAAATAATGCTCAATAAGTAAATTAATAATGTTTATATTAGTTATGCATGCATTAGTTATGCATAGATTATTTCTTATGTATAGTTTGATTTGCGGCATTAAAAATAATATGCAAGAGCATTGGTTATGCATAGATAATTGGTTTGCTTATAGTATATTTCATAACATCTCAAGTTTTGGTATTGCCAACAATAAAATCATTATTTTATTAAGAAAAATTATAAAGCCAACCAAGCTTTAATGTCGAACTATATTGGCACCATATGCTTTGAATCTCTTTGCTTTCCTATCTTATTAGTGTTTAAATGCCTTTAATTTTTTTCAACTTTTATTACTTCGATTTTTTACAAAATAAAACAAAACAAAGAGAGGGAAGTGAGAAATAAAACATTTTAAAAAGAAAGAGAAAGAGGAAGTAAAAAGAGGAGGTAAAGTTTCACCTGTACATTGCGATACAAAATGGTTTAAGCATCTCCACATGATAAAATAAGTGAATTTATAATTAAGATGCATCATAAATTAAAGAAAAAGACATAAACTCACCACTGAAATTGTCCCGAATTTTCAAAAAGACACCTTAACTTTGCAAGCGTTCTATTATCCCACAAAAGTTTTGAAGATCTTTGTAAAAGAGTCATTTTGTACCATTTCCTCACCTGGTTAGACGTGCGTGATGATCATGAGTTGTCATAGTCTAGACCCGACCTGATTTGTTTCAATAAGAGAAAACTCTTTTTACTTTTGTCTCAACTTTCCATGTCTCTTCGTGTTCCTGGTCAAACGATAGTGTGGTGATCATCTATTTCCTTTTTGACATTTCTTGGTCACAATTCTTGGAGGAACAATGAATTGAAGGTTAATAGGTTAGGATTTTCTTACATTAGTTGATAAAGATCGTATTGCTACTGTTTTAGGGATTATTATAGTGCAAAAAGTGTTAGAATTGACTTATTATAGTTTCTATTGTTAGGATTTCAGTGTGTTTCGTTGTGTTATTGACTAATTCCTATTGTTAGTCTTGAAAAACTTCAAATTAATCCTTGAAAAACTTCAAATTAACCTTTCCGACTGGAAATGAAAAGAGAAAAATGAATTCCTACCTATTGTGCTTAGGGAAGATGATGAATTCGTCAAAGAAAGTATCAACGTTGACCTTATTTTGGGGAAGATGATGAAATCGTCAAGAGAGAGTACCAATGTCTCTTTTGAGCTTTGTTTTGGGGAAGATGATCTAAAAGAAGTAAATAATTAATTAATAAAGAAAACAAGCGGACTGTGATACTTTTTGATTGGTTATTCGCAGCAAAAACACTGTTTCACGCACGTGTTGTGCATGTTCATAAACTAGGTGAGGGAATGGGTCAAAATGACCCTTTTACAAAGATATTCAAAAGTTTTGTGGGGTAATAGGACACTTGCAAAGTTAAAATGTTTTTTTGAAAATTCGGGACAACTTCAGTAGTGATTTTATGTCTTTTCTCTGAATTAAAACATAGAACCTATCGTCTTTGAATTTAAGGAAGAAAAACTTTTCACAAGAATTTAGCTTTTCATTATTTTTACTACTCCCTATGTCCCATATTATTAATACTATACTAAAAATAGTTGTTCCATATTAGTTGATCACCTTACTAAATTAAGAAAGCATTAATCGAAATTTTCCCATAATATCCTTGCAATTGATTCTTTTTGAAAGTGTTCAGACTTGTTTGTAAAGTTTCAAAGAAGTTCTTAAGGGGTAAATTGGTAAAACTTCCCTCTTATTTATGATTTCTTAATATGCGTGTAAAAAAAAGTGATCAGTTAATATGTCTATGAGACAGAGGGATTATTAGAATATTAAAATGGATTATTCATAAATCTAATAAGATCTATCATGACTGCGCGAAACGCAAAAAATTCACCTAGTATACTTAATATTTCAAAAGCCTCATCCTCTCCTAGTTAGCATGTCATATCATTAAAGCCTCAGGTTTTTTTTAATAATTGACTCATTTAATTCATTTAACCAAAATTATAGTTTTGTTATTTATTTATTTTAAAATAAATAGATTAGTTTATTAAGAAGAAATTTGCATGCTTAGAATTTTTTTCAATATTTAAACTTTATATTATGTTACTAAATAGTTATTCATGTTTTGAAATTTGCCTATACAAATCACTTTTATTTTTTAAAAGACAATAATGTCACTCAGCTATTAGTACTATATATTTTTCTCACAGAGAAATATTAAATACCTCAAAAATCTCCTTCTATTCTAGTTGATATGTCATGTCATTACATCATTATTTTTTACAAATAGTAGACCCATTTAACTCATCAAATTTATGTCTCTACAATATATATATATTAAGTGAAAATTTATGAAGATTATATTTTTTTTAAATCTAATTTCCTTCTGATTTTTCTACCAAACAAAATTAAATGAAACTTTTTTTTGTACGCAATTATTACCTGATATATTTTAAAATCCCTAAATAAATTATCTAAAATTATAAGCAATTTTTTTTAATAAAAATATTCAAATAAACTTGTAAGGTTGACACAGAGAAAAGTTGGTAAAAAAAGTCATTTAACTTTTATTTTTAATTTAATTTTTCACTCTTATTCTTTTATAACTATTATATTATACTTTATCTTATCATACAATTAAACACTAATATTTATTCTTATCTCATTCCAAATTTACTAAACACAAGTAATAATTAATTGAATTGCCTATTTTAATTTAATAATACATTATATGAGATTAATTTGCTCATTAATAAAGATCAAAATTTTATTTTCAAATATAAATATTATTCACTTTCTACCATTAATTCTTTTTAATAGTTAATTGACCTTTAATATTATTGATCCGTTATACAATTATGATTACTTAATGTAAATTGACTTTCATGAGTGATTTGTATATCAATATTTTTTTGAATATATGTGTTTATAAGTATTCAAAATTGATGACATTAGAGTAGGTTTTAAAACGCTATTCTTCATAGCATAAAAAAATAAAAAGTTTAGTTATGATAAAAGATTCGTAAGTATAAAAATGTCTTCTTAATAAACGATTTAAAAAAAAATAATACGATTATTATTCTAGTTGAATAAGTTTGGTGAGTTAAATAAGTTTATTATTAAAAGTGAGGGTTTAATGACATGACATGCTAACTATGAGAGAATAATGATTTTGAAGTGTTAAGTATATTTGGAGGAAAGTAGTGATAGTTGAGTGATAACTTAATTCTAAATAAAACAAAACATATATCTGGGCAATTTTCTAAACTTGAGTTACCATTTAGTAGAAAAAACAAACACACTTAGGGTGTGTTTGGTATGAAGGAAAATGTTTTTCATGAAAAATGTTTTCTTGGAAAATATTTTCTTAGAAAACAAGTGGATTTCTGACTTATTTTCTCATGTTTGGTTGGTGAGTAGAAAATATTTTTGGGAAATTATATTTTAGTGTTTAGTTGGTGAATGAAAAATATTACTTAGAAAATATCTTTTATTTTTTACGAGAGAGTAGAAAATAGTTTTTAGGAAAACATTTTCTGACCAGAAAACCAACCTCGATAATTGATCTAGGACATGATCCCAACACCCAAACTAAGACACAACCCCAACAACCGATCTGAAATCCGACCTTGAGATCTGACCTAGGATCTAGCCCCAACTTTTGACCCGAGACCCAACAATCAAATTGGGATCGGATATCCGACCTAGGACCTGAGCGACACCCGAACATGAACACGATCGACCAATTCAGATTTTAACTTCGACACTTGAATTGAGATCCAACTTTCAATTCAGGACCCGATCCTGACAACCAATAATTGATGCGAGACCCAAAGTTTGACTTCCAAATCGAGATTTCGACCGCAACTTCAGAATCGGGATCCAACCACACTTGACTCGGGACCTAACTTTCAAATTGGGATTTAATTTAATTTTAAAAATAAAATTCTAAATTTTTATCGGAGGGGATGGTGTAAAAAATAAAAAATTAAAAAATTTATTAAAAATAATTTTATATTTTTTTTGGTTGGGGGTGGGAGGCTGGTAGGGAGTTGGAGTTGGTGTGGTTAAGAAAATATTATCTTTTTCAAAAATAAACTTTTAATATTTTATTTTGTGGGGGAATAGGGGTAATCAGGGGATGGGTGGGGTAAAAATAATCAATTTTTTAAAAAAAATTTAAACTATTTTTATAAAATAAAATTTAAAATTGTTAATTTTTTTTTTGGTTGGGGGAGGGGCTGCTTTGGGGTTAGGGGGTCGGGTTAGGGATAAAATAAATTGAATTTTTTTTTAAAAGGAAAATTTTAAAATTTTAATAGGTTTTGAACGGAGAGAGTAAGAAATAAATGTAATATAAGGTAGGAGTAGATTTTTTTTTATTTTCCTTAAATTTGAAAAATATTTAAACCAACTAAAAATGAGAAAATTAAAAGAGTAATGTTTGAAGCATTTAGAGTCAAACCTCCCATAAATACAAACAAATGATGCGTAGACAGAATTGGATTTTGAGAATGAGCACTAGTGCATTGGTTGCGGAGAAAGTGTGGAATGATATCGAATCAACTCATTCAGGTCTCTTCTTCTTCTTCTTCTTCTTCAACTATAACTCTATTTTAGGTTTATATCACTCTTAACTTCATTTGCTAATTTGTTGCAGTCAGCGATGAGCAACTCTCCATGTCAGTTCCCTTTCTTTTCTTTCTAATTTCCAATTTCTGGTCTTGCTTTTACTACAATTCATCTTTTCTTTTCTCTAGATTGCATTTCTTGTTTGGCAAAAATTTGGAGCGAGCAATGAGAATAGTTGATCAAAGAGGTGTCAAAAGGATGTTGGGTCACCCCAGTGGCCGTTCCATCTTTCAGGTCGAATTTTTTACAATATCAGTCCACTGGGTCTATGATAATTAAATATTGAACTCTATTCATTTTTATGGTTGCGCAGGTTGTAGGAGAGTCAAAGAGGAAGGAGGAATATTTATGCTTTCCACAACATTATTGTGCTTGTTATTCCTTCTTCTATGACATTGTAAACAGAGGGGAACAACTTTGTGTGTGTGAGATTTACCCTTCCTTCCTTCCTTCCCACTGTTTTTATCCAATATCAATAAATTAATTGTAACACTCTCTTCTATGTGTTGTTTTCCCCAGTGTAAGCATCAATTAGCTGCCAGACTTGCTTCTTCCTTGGGAACATGTATTGATGTTAAAATGTCTGACCACGACCTTGCTCTCATGCTCTCCCACCTTTGAATCTCCAGGTAATACTCGAAATCCGTTTACAATTTATGTCACGCATTGATTTAACTTGTAAATTCGAGATTTAACAAATAGATATGTTGTTAAATGAGATTAGAGAGAACACTTATACAATTTAATAAATGAATGGAATAGTGAAATCCAAGTAGTGTTGCTTCAGCTTCGATTCCGGTTATAACTTAAGCTGTTAGTTCTGGAAAGAAAGGTGTTAGTATAAGCATTTTTTTTGTGTATATCCTTGGTCAATAATGTAAAAATGCTCTATTTGGAGATACTGTTGCCAGCTGTAAACCCGCTGAACATCCTTTTAACGTGTCTTTGGGCACGATTCCTTTCTTTCCTCGTCCATGCTTTGCCTTTTATCTGCTAGAAACCCTCCGGCTGATCCGGCCATGATGGAAATAATCAATCCGGATACACAATGATCCCGGGTACTTCTCGGGTAACTTTTGAAGGAAGCTTTTCTTGATGACCTCTTTCTTTGATTTTATTCTAATGCCAGGGAAGCCCCATCCTAAGAGGCCAGGAGTACATGAGAATATTCCCCAATACAATCTTGTAGTTTTTTATTTGTGCAGCACTCTTAAATTTAAGGTGGCTTGTTTTGTCATCCCTAGTATTTTACCTTTTTATTTGTAATTCAAGTTTTATATTAAAAACAAAACCCATTGCCATCAAATTACTATTCCATCTTAACTGGCATTTTCCAAACTGAAATGATCATTCTAGAAAAAATAGGTTTTCTATCGTCCATCTGTATTGAAATGATGAATTCTTAAACAAAGGCCAGATCATGTGGATGTTCAGCTGTATGAAGGTGTTGCAGTCCTTCTTAAATTTTTGGCTTGTATAACTTCTCTGATGACTATAATTTTATGTTTCATGTTTCCTTAATTTTAATACCACAGTTGCCAGCATATTAGTTTTGATGCTAAAATCATTGCAGATGGATGTCACTATTTTTTTTTCCTTGGGCTATTTTTCGCAATAATACGTTCTTATGAGGTTGCTATTCGTTTTTAGAGAAAAATCAGATTGCAAAGTTTGTTAATGATAATCTCTTCTTTTTTTTCTTATTTGTGCAAGCTTGCGTGCACCTTGACTAGTCCACCGGATACCTACAACCTCCCACTGGCATATGTACTGGGTAACTCTGCCCTCCAATGCTTAGTCAAATGGGAAGAAATCACGTAGTCATTTTGTATCTGTTTGGGTTTCAGATTTGAATCCTGGTCTCCAATTCATTGACCACTAGGCCAGATTCTTGGTTACAAGTGTACAAATGATAGCCATTATCAATGACCTACTTTGTGGTATTTCACTGTGCATGTTGTGGTGTTGATCAATGACCTACTTATGCCTCTTGATTACTTCCTACCATTTCAGCTGTAGAGATTTAAATTGAAGTTTCTTTTTTGGCCTCAGAATGAAGTAACTGTCAAATACCTTATGCATTCTTGTTTGTTGGAAAATATTAATTCTGGACAGAAATTGAGTCTATCACTTTACCTCTTGACTGCTTAAGGTAACATACGGTTTTTCTTTCTTTTGGATACATTTCTTAAGATGACTTAGACATGAAGATCCTTAAAACCTTAGAGAAGCCAATGAACCAGAAAAGGAGTTGAAATAGGACTAAGCAAAATCTGTTTACTGCATGGCCAGTTCTATGAAGAGACAGGTAGTGAATATTTGAAGAGAGGATAGAAATTTAAGCAGATAGTTAATAAGGGAGTAAAAGATCTATTTGGTGAATCAAGAAATCTATTTAGATATTATCACCAAAAGGAAAAAAGACCAATTAAGATATAATTATTTTTTAAGAGGGCAGCAGACACAACTGCGAATATTTGAATATTGCCTAGCAATCGTGATTCCTCTGGCATTACGACCTTTACCATAACAACATTTTGTCGATAGATCAATTGTCTCGTGGACTAGATTTCACTTGTTTAGTTAGCAGATGTCATAATGTGGAGTCTATATCTTCTCTTATTTGATTGTATCCCCATATTTCCTATAGTTGAAACCATTTCTTATGCAGCTTCATTGCAGGTTGAAGCAACATTTTGTCCCAAAAGAAATGCAACCAGCATATGCTTTTATAGCCCTCAATGATGAAGATTTGGACTTTGGAATTACTGCTTTGTTTTAAGAGGACCACATTCTTTTGGAACTTACAACAAAGTAATCAGATCACACCTAATTCTCTGCATTGCACCTGATGTACTTTAACTATGTTGCCAAAAGAGGGATCAGTATCTGATCATATTTGTTTGGTTGATGTACATAGTAAAGAAAACATCTGGTCATTCATAAACATCAATATTCCAGAAAATTATTCTTGCTATACATAGATATTATCAGATGAGGAAACTACTTTGTATTGCTTTCAAAGAAAAGTAGCGGACGCAATTCGCAAGTTTCAGTAAGTGGAAGATTATATTGTTTAAATGCACTGGGTTGCACCGTTAGTAATTACTTATTATAGGGTTCAAGCCCCATAACCATGACATATTTTATGAAGAAGAAATGTAATCCAACATGGTGTCTCCACTTTCAACTCAAAATGTGATTGTTTTCTGCCTCAAGCTTGGGATGCCCTCACTCATTTGGAGATGTGTCACAACCCAAAAACCGGGTGTGACAGCACCTGTCTTATCCCACCAATAAAGGTCAGCCTAAACAAACCTTGATAAGGTAAATGTGGAAGTAAAAATAGGATAAGGAACTAAACGTAACATAAACATGCGGAAATCATAATATAACTCAAATACCCCCAAAACCTGGTGTCACGTGTACAAGCCTCTAAGTAGTACAATAGATTCAAAAGAAATACAAGTCTGGATGTCTTTGTATCTAGAACAGAGCAAGGACATAATGAAAGAGTAAGTGATGTCTACTGAGATGACAAACAACTATCTCACGAACTCCCAAAGCAAGCCTCAGACGAAGATGAGAAGGGGTGATCAAGACGATCCAGGCTCCTAACCTACATAAGTGTAGAAAGCAAGGGAGTGAGTACCAAATAACAACAGTACTCAGCAAGCATCCTTACTAACCCTAAGTAAAGCAATACAGAACACATGTACTCCCAATATTTCATCCAAACCTCCATATACTACAACCTGCATAGAATAAATCAGACCAACTCAACCTAACAATTCACAATTCAGGTAACACATGGCATGTATAATTACATTGTAGCATGCACCTCAACATAAACAAATATTATCATCACCGTCTTTGATATTCAAACAACCACAATGGCTATAAAAAAACACTCATAAAGATCAAAGAACAATAATGATGTGCAACACAATGTCGTGCAATGTCATATATACTGATGCATGTACGTTCTTACGATACACACCCGCTAAGACTTAGGTCAGGACCCATAGGGGACTCAGAAGGTCCATTTATTTGCCGGAATCATTTTCCTTCGGCATATCTCATCCGCCAAAACCATTTTCCTTCGACATACATAACAAATCGTTGAAACAATTTCCTTTCGGCATAAACATTAATCGCCGGAACCATTTCCCTTCAACATAAATATCAATTCTGTTAATTATGTTTATATTTGGATAGTGTAGATATGAGAATCTTTAAATATGGTATGACTAAATAATCTAGATATGAGAGAATATTCCTTAATATCTTTAATTAGGAAGTTAGGAGATTGTGTAATATTTTATTATTTTCTTTCCTTATTTACATTATCTGTAACAGCAGTCTAGACTATTTTGTAAACTTCGTCAATCCCTCTATGGTCTCAAGCAGTCTCCCAGAGATTGGTTTGGTCGTTTTAGAGTTGTTGTCCAACAATTTGAAATGATCCGAAAGATCACTCTGTATTTTATAGGCATTCATCTCATGGCAAACATATCTTTTTGATTGTTGTGTTGATGATATTGTTATCACAGGAGATGATTATGAAGGTATTGCTCAACTCAAACAAAACCTCTCAAGTCACTTTCATACTAAGGATTTGGGCAAGTTGAAATACTTTTTGGGCATTGAAGTGGTACAATCTGGCCATGGTATTGCTATTACTCAAAGGAAATATGCCTTAGACATTTTGGAAGATGCTGGTATGTTGTATTACAAACATGTGGATAGCCCAATGGATTCAAATATTAAGCCTTATTCCAGGACAAGGGGAGCCTCTAAAAGATCCTAGCAGATATCAGAGACTTTGTTGGCAAACTCAACTATCTTATGATAACACAACCAGACATATTAGTTGTTGTTAGTGTAGTTAGCCAATTTTCGCAATCACCTTGTGATAGTCATTGGAATGCAGTGATTCGCATCCTGCGATATATCAAAAACTCTCCAGGACAAGGTTTATTGTATGAAGATAAGGGACACACCAACATTGTCGGATATTATGATGCAGATTGGGCAGGATCTTTTTCTGACAGGCGGTCCAATTCAGGTTATTGTGTTCTAATTGGAGGCAATCTAATATTTTGGAAAAGTAAAAAACAAGTTGTCGTAGCTAGATCAAGCGCAGAGGCAGAATATCGAGCTATGACACTAGCTACGTGTGAGCTTATATGGTTGAGACAACTTCTCCAAGAATCGAAGATGGAAGAAGTTGAGCCGATGACATTGATTTGTGATAACCAAGTTGCACTACATATCGCTTCTAATGCAGTGTTCCAGGAAAGAACGAAGCACATTGAGATAGATTGTCACTTCATTCGAGAGAAGATTGAGTCTGGATACATCAACACCAGTTTTGTCAACTCAAAAGATCAACTGCAGATTTTTCACAAAATCACTCTGAGGATCCAAACTGACTATATTTATGGCAAATTAGGAGCATATGACTTATACGCTCCAGCTTGAGGGGGAGTGATAATTATTGTATATTTGGATAGTGTAGATATGAGAATCTTTAAATATGATATGATTAAATAATCTAGATATGAGAATATTCCCTTATCTCTTTAATTAGGCAGTTAAGAGATTGTGTAATATTTTATTATCTTCTTTCCTTATTTACATTATCTGTAACAGTTATTTAATCCCATCAACTTGAGGGAATGATCAATCAATTCAATTCCCAATATCTCTTCTTTTTCTTTTCTTCTTCTAATTTCTCAAATTCAAATCTCATCACAGTGTTTCAGAAACAATACAAATAGGCATATTCACACGAATAATGAGAAGATGATAAATTCTATATCAATACGTAATCTATACCCACACAATCATGACACGTCATCAATAGTGAATCAATATAACCGTTCAAATTATTCATGACACATCTTACATTAATATATCAATAAATTTCCCTTTATTGCCTCCAGAATTCAATCAACATTTACAAATTATCAAGAATTACAAAACTCTTCACCAATTCCCATCACTCCCAACCACAATAAGGCATACAAGGTTCAATATGCTTAACGAAGGGCCTAAAATGGCCCTCAACTTTTTGAATTGGTACAAAACTACCCTTCATCCACCTTTCAGCCCTCAAATACCCCTGAAGTCAACCTTTTGGCTAAAAATATATATTTATTTCTAATGGCCCACACTCATAAGGTAGATGGGGGCATATTGTACCAAATTTCATAGTTTAAGGGCATTTTAGGCCCTTCTCCACTAAAATAATCTAAAATTACTTAATATATGGGCTCATATGATTGGCTTGATTTCAGGTTCCACAACAAATTAAAAAATTAAAAAAATGTTAGTCCTCTACCATCTACACTTACCTCCCCCCCCTCTTTCACTTCTGGTCTCTTCCACTTTTTTTTCTATTGGATCTTGTGCACCATTTTAAATTTTAACTTTTTTTAAATTCTGACAAAACAAGGAAGAGAAAAGGAGAAAAATAACGACGACATTTATATAGAAATAATTAGTTCAGAAGAAGATGATTTAGTTAAGCAATTATTTACGTACACTGCATTTTTCTTT